AAACTCTGAATCAAAGCACATGCATATCATAGCAATATTCAAAATACAGATTATGTACATGCTAAGTTGCATTAGTCATGTCTAACTTTTTGTAATCCAATGAATTGTACTCCCCCCACTCCAGGCTCTTCTGTCAATGGGATTCTTTAGGCCAGAATACTGGCATGGATTGCCATGTCCTCCTCCAAGGGTATCTGTCCAACCCAGGGATTGAACCAGAGTCTCTTGGTCTCCTGCATTGGCAGGCAGGTTCTTTACCACTAGCGCCACCTGGGAAGCCCACAGATTATATGCTGTAGTAAAATCTTGAAAACATAAGAGAGAGACATCAGAACAGATTCGACATCAGTTTACATCAGTGACTGGAGTAGCTATTAATGAAGCTATTAATGAAGATGAGAGAGACTAGAATTTAAAGGGGGAAAGGATGATTTTAAAGATAAAAACAGACAAGTAAGAATGATTTTATTCAGACTCTTGAAATAGGAAGAACACCCTAACCCTGAGTATCAGAGTGTTTCTAATGGGTGATGCTGCATTAGAACTTTGTAGGGAAGGACAGACATGTTACAAGTGAGATGATTTACATTTGGGATGGTTGTAATCAGAGGAAGTCTAGGTCAGTTAGCTGAACAGGAAACATTTTCCTCTGTGTCTAGCAAGTTTCAGAGGGACCCAAGTTGTAATCTCAGCTATTCATTCATGAGACAAAGAATGGGAAATTGGAGGTCTGGGTCTGGTCTTGTCAGCACATTCAGGCAGAAAGGGGAAAATCTGTGTCTGGGCTTGTCCTGGGTAAACAAGAGTCATGTGCAAATCTTATGAAGTCATGAGAAAGAGTGGACCATGGGTTTTATCAAAGTCATGGGGAGGAGGCTTTTTGTGTTAAGCCGTTGCCCAGAACACAATAAGGTGGGTGCACTTCTCAATGATTGTTAATTTGGGAGCACAGGGCTTAGGCAGCTTCACCATTGTCAGTGGCAAACGGATTCAGAGCAGAGGCATCAGTGGACACATAGTGAGATGTGCGTGTGCATTAGTTGCTTGGTTGTGTCCAACTCTTTGCAACCCCAAGGACTACAGTCCTCTAGATTCTTCTCTCCGTGGAATTCTCCAGGCAAGAATATTGGAGCAGGTTGCCATTTCCTTCTCCAAGGGATCTTCCCAACTCACGGATCAAACTTGGGTCTCCTGCATTGTAGGCAGATGCTTTACCATCTGAGCCAGCAGGGAAAACTCATAGTGAGATGTGCTGTGACACAAAGGGAGATCAATTCAAATAGATCTGAAGGCAACAAGCCACTCTGGAGGGAAAAGGTTTTCCATAAAAAGGATCCAGGAAAAAGGGACCTACCGAAGATGATGTGGGTGGAGTCCCTAGGAAAAGACCAATCCACTGAACTCAGGTTGCTGCAGAAACATCACTTTTAAATCACAACTGCAGGTTTGCAGGTGAAGCTTAAGAATGGGCAGAGTGTCTCTCAAGGCCAACATGAATAGTGCATCCTAATCAACTTCAGGTGGAATAAAGCACAAACCTGCACAAATCTGACTATTGGGTTAAAGTAATTGTAGTTAAACCTAGCCATGAATACTTGTGTAGAGTTTGAATCCAGAGTTCCTCTAGGTATCTCTAAACCAGCTTTTGCACCCTGCTGGTAGCTCATTATGGAAGAGGAGCACAGGGGAAAGATCACGATCCCAAATCAGTTGATTTACTGAAAACCCTTAATGCTTCATGGATAGTTTTTTTTTTTTTTTTTTTGGTATATTTTTGCCCCAGGGGTTCTCAGAATACATGGCAAGACATTCATCTGATTGTAGTTTTGTGCATGCTCTAATTTTTCCCAATTAAAAATCCCAACAATAAAATTGCCAATGACCTGTAAGGATGGGTAAAGTACAGTAACAGGATTAAATGGAATTTCATGATAATCTCAACAAATCAGATTAACAATGCATAAGATTTCTCCTATACCGAATCTTCTACTGACATTGCTATATTATAAGCAGCTAAGCTGCTAGGCTTGAATTTCATCCCCCTCCCGATTTTAACTTTATTAGAAGTGCTAAAATGAAGCACAAGGCTAAAACTTGCTTCAAGAAGAGAAAAAAGAAGAAATATTGCAGGGAAAAAATCACTAGAGAGTGAAGACATGATCACAGAAAACAGGTCAGGTGAGGAATGCTAAATTCCTAATCAGACTCAGCGCAGGCATACAAAGACCCATGAGTATAGACCTCCCACATAACGCTAATGGTAAAGAACCCAGACACGTAAGACACAGGTTTGATCCCTGGGTCAAGAAGATCCCCTGGAATAGGAAACAGCAACCCACACCAGTATTCTTGCCTGGAGAATTCCCATGGACAGAGGAACCTGGCGGACTACAGTCCATGAGGTTGCAAAGAGTCAGGCATGACTGAGCGACTAACACTTTCACTTTTATAGCAAAGATGAACTCTATCTAAAGAAGTCTAAAGTTTGTCTGAAGAAACTCAAAAATGTTCCAAAGTTCGATTCCTAATCATTCTTTATCAGTCACATTTCTTTGCTCTTGATTTTGTGGTTATTTCAGAAGTTAGAACTGCTATAGAATTTATACTTCTGTTTATCATCTATTTCTATACTTCAGCTCTATGGCTTTTTGTAAAATGCACAAAGACTTTTCTCCTGTTTTATATGATCTACAGTAAAGTGTAGTATGGTCAGACCTCCTCATCTTATTATTTACCAAATGTCTGGTCATATTGTAGGATGCACTTCCTTGTCCTCTTGTGAGAAGTGGAGCCACATGACTAGTTGTGGCCAATGAATTGTGAGCAGGAGTGACCTGTATAATTTCTGAGCTGGAGTATTTAATTTCCCACATAAGACCTTCAAATTCACTTTCCCTCAATAGAATGACCAGCAATATTGATGTTAGTGGCTGTTTCATTGGGCTGGAGTCTTAAAGTGAAAAAGATATGAGGCACAGATGCCGCTGACCTGGAATTACCATATAGTGAGAACAAGAAATGCATTTTTAAGGAGCTGTGGAAGTTTTGGCTTCTTGTTGCCTGAATGTTTGTTACTATAGTATAACCTAACCTATCATGACTGATACAATTACATTTGCATGTGAAGTATGATCTGATTCTTGATACATTGTTGTTTAGGTGCTAAGCCTTGTCAGACTCTTTGCAACCCCAAGGACTATAGCCCTTCGGGCTCCTCTGTCCAAGATTCCCCAGGCAAGAATACTGGAATTGGTTGCTGTTTCCTTCTCCAGGTGATCTTCCTGACTCAGAGATAGAACTCATGTCTCCTGCGTCTCCTGCATTGCAGGTGGACTCTTTACCCACTAAGCCATCTGGGAAGTCCAAAAGCATGGGCCCAACTGAATGATAGGTTCCAACTAGAAATCAGAAAGGACCCCAAACAGGTCTTTCTTCAGTGATTCACACTCTGCAATGAGAAATAAAAATCAGAGTCTAAAGCAGAGTTGGATGTCTTATTAACAAATCAACACTTAAAGAATAGGAAAAAGAAAAGAAAAAAGAATAGTTTCTATTTGATCGTTGGCAGTGTTGTAGCAGGTTTATTCAATTATTGTAGCACAATAAAGATATATTATGGAAACTGGGTAAAAAGAAAGAGGCAGCTGTTTAATTGTAATAATTGAATGAATAATTACATGGCAGCTCTTTGGCAGATGATTTACAGCGAAATGAATTTCTGTACTAATTATTTTCAGTAGCTAACTCTTGAATATAAAAATCTGCTCAGTGATGAAGATCCAAATATGAGTAATATGAACTCCCTGGCATGAATGGAAACTGACAACTGAATAGTGGGGGAGAAGAAATGGACATGAAGCAGAAATAATAAGTGCTCTAAGAGTTGCACACTCCAAGCTGTGACAGGCCTGGAAATTCTAAAAAAGGGTAAGTGATCTAGTAGCTATGGCTGCTAAGCCATTCCATAGTTAGTACTAGGCTGTAGAGACAGCTGCTTGAATAGAAAACTTGAGTATCAGAGAGTAGTTGGTAGTAAGAAGCCACTAAAGGAGAGAGCAGAGCAACTGATTAACTTGATAAAAAATCAATGTTACTTTGAGGAAGCCGGCTTTCCTGCCATCCAATCTAAAACCTAGCAGCTCTGTTTCAACTCCAATTACTTCACTACTTCCACACCTTGGTGTATCAGTTTGTGGTTTAGGATTTGGCAAGACTGTGCACAGGAGAAGCAAACCAACAAACAGGCCAAGTGAAAGCAAACTCATTGCCTGTGTGTATAAGCATAGGTTTAAGGCACAGTGTAAAAATAATCACAGGGAAACAATGGTAAATATGTAATCAAAAACATGTTAGAATGAACCATAACAAAAGAAATTTTAAAAAGGGAGGGGGAATATCTGAAACAATATCTCAATGACTTTTTTTAGACTATAGCATGCTCTTCCTTGGCTATACAAAACCAGTATTTTCTCTCCTCAGCAATGTTTTCTGTCCATGTAACAGGATCATACCCATTCTCTGTTGAACCATTTACACCGAGGTAATACTGGCTTACTTACGGTTAGATGTTTAAGGCAGTTGGAAGGAGATGGCCATGTATAACTCTTCAAAAAATTACTCCTTCATTGTTAAAATTTGATTTTTCAAAAGCAGGCTGTTAAAATATTTAAGAGGATGGCAATAAAAGTATGTTGTGTATAGAACATATCAAGGGTGACACCAACTCCATCCATATCTACTGGATGGAAGCAAGATGTGCTTTTCTGAGAGTTTATAGTAGGCAAAAAAAAAAAAAAAAAGAGGCATTTTTATTTTAACCAGATGTGAAAGAATTAAACCCAATATTTTCAAGTATTTTTTAGTGCCATATGATGTCATCTGATTTTATATTTTCTGAGGGATAGTGGGTATTTTCAAATTGTGAAGCCACTTTCCATGTATGTGCTTAAAGTCTTATATATGATAAATTACAGTAAACAAATTACCACACCGGCAGAACATACTTTTGGCTGTTTATGCTAAGACAGCGGAGAGAGAAATTTAGTTTCTCAATCGGAAATGGAATCAAAAGCATGTGAAATGTCTTCTGCTGGCCTTCAAGGCAGTCCTTATTTCAGAGACTATGTACTCCTCATCCAAAGAGGTCCGGGGCAGGGAGGGCTGGGTGTGTCCTCGGAATAGTCCAAGGGCCTCTTCCCTGTGGCGCCAACGCAACAGCCCCCGGGACCTCGTAGGCACTACACTAGTCATCCAGGCAACCACAGTTTTTAAACAACCATGCCCTTCCTTTTTCGCTGGTAATATGTTTTCAATGACAGCCTTACACATACTATACATCCCACCGCCACCAACCCAGATGGGGCCAAATTTCCCAGGATCGCTGCGCCACTCGTGTCCTCCGGAGTCGGCAAGGGAGGAGAGAACTTCCTTCCTCACACTCTCCTCTGGAGCAGCATCAGACAAGCGGCCACACCCAGGAGCAGGAGAGTGGCCCTCAAAGGCTTTGCTGAGTGAGCTTCTCTGAGCCATCTCTCCCGTGGTCGGGAAAGAGACTTCTTAAAAACCATTTAAAGCTTTCCAAAGGGCAGGAGCGAGACGATCGCGATCCAAGGTTAGCATCAGTGGTTCCACTCCTCCAGACTTCACTTCGGAAATAAGGAAAGAGTCAGTCACCAGGGCTGACTGACGGATGCCTCATCCAGCAGCTCCCCGCCCCCTCCCAATGAAGACAGAGCTGCTGAGAGTAAAGTTAATATTACTAAGGGGCCGTCGGTGTATTAACCGTTGTTGAATTAGAAACACCATCCGTTCAGACCACAGTCTCCTCCATCCACCACCCATACTCGAGCACGGAACATTCCGGGCAAAGACCTCTCAGCCTTCCTTCCTTGACGANCGCGCGCCCGTTGGGGGGCCCGGGGGGGGGAAGAGGCGCCGGAGGCCCGGCCGCATTGTGACGTAGCGGGGCCGCGGCAGCGCCTCCGCCGCCCGCCGGCTCCCGCCGTTCCTGCCTGCTCCCGCCGCCGCCGTCCATCTGTCCGTCCGTCCGTCCGCGTCTTTGAGCAGCCGCCGCGCCGGGCGCCCGGGGTGAGTCCAGGTCCCGGGGTGGACGCCGCGGGGAGACGGGGGTGGGGCGCGACGGCGCGAGCGACTGAGCCTTTCCAAGTTTGCACCGGGCGGCCCGGGCGGGGGTCCCCCCCACCCCGCCGCGAGCCCCGGGGAAGGGGGGGCCCTTTGTGCGGCGAGTCCCGGCGGCTCGAGTGGCGGCGGTGCCTCTGCAGAAAGGGTTTGGGGAGAGGTCTCTATAGTAACGTTGGCGGCGCCTGCCAAGCGGCTTCTCTTCTGGAGGGAGGGAGGAAGAGCCCCCACCTCCGGTTCCAAAGGATCGCTCTTTTCCTCTGCCGGTTTCGTGTGCTTATTATTCTTCCTGCCACCTGGGATGGTGTGGGAGGCAAGGATGGGCAGTGCCGGGGCTCCTAAGAACTGAGGTAACCAGAGACGAAGTCATAGTAATAGAAACAGTACCAACAATAATAATAGTAATCGCAACAGAGGGACGCCTGGGGTTGCCGCGGCCCAAGGGCAGCCCCTCGCTCTTGGGCACCGCGGCCCTGGCTGCCCGGTCCTCTGGGGCTCCGAGCACCACCCTCGGGTGCTGTCCCGTGTCCCCTGCTCCTCCGGGTCAACTGTAGCCAGGAGTGTTTCTCTCCTGGCCGCCTTTCGCGGTGATGGCTCTCGTCTGCAGGTGGTAAGCGAGGTGACTGGCAATTTGGCTATTGTCAAATGCCACGTTTTGTTTATTTCATCTTTACGAAAGGAAAAGAGGGAAAATTATGAGCCATTACTGGCAGCCATACAGTTTCCACAGGAAATACTAGCATTCTTTGAGGAACACGCTACTGCTTGCGGGGAAGAAAGTCTTTAGGAAACAAAAAGGGAACAGCATTGTTGCTCATTTTCAATGGACCGCTAGGAGAGGGGAAACGTGGTGTTTTTTCCTGTGGGAACAGGCTTGCCTTGGGAAAGTTAATTAAGGAAGCTTACTGTCGGTGGCCCGTTTTTCACTTGCTGGTGGCTGGACCCCACTCCTCTTGGCTGTTACTGACAAGTGTCCATCAAAGAGCCGTGAGGAAGGGAAAACCACTGCAGGACAGTCTCACCACACACCACGTGCTGTGGAGCCCAGCCAGGGTGCAGTGTGCAGAATGAAATAAGGGCTGTCTGGGGAGGTTTATGAGGATTGCGTCTGTGCAGAGTATGTCAGTGCTCCAAGGTGTCACTCTAAACACATCATTTTCAAGCGTGGCTTTCCCTGCTGAATCTGCAGAAAGGCAAAAACCTATTTCTCTTATTGTGGAGCAGACGTCCCAGTTGGGAATGGGTTGAAATCTGCGTTTTGTTTGTGTATATTGAAGTTTTCAAAGGCAGAGAGGATAAGGTTTAGGAAAGCAGTATGCTAATGGATTCACATCTAGAGAATGTCTGTTGGGTATTTCTGATGCATCTCAACGTTAAATTACGTTCAGCCTGGTTGGACTCTAGGGAGACACCCTTCAGGTGTTCTTTATTTGAAAAAGTGTGACATTTTGTCCCCATTGCAGAAGTCTCTCTGGAAGGCAGTAATAACTGAAGATTACCAAAATATGTAGGAGTTTCAGGTCTAGGCACAGAAAGAAGATGGTGCTTCTCTTAAGGATCTTTGGACATCCCAGTTAGAAATAAAATATAAAAAAATAAATAATACAGCTTTGAACATAAGCTTCATTTTATTTAGAGCAAGCTTTTCGTGAGGAAAGGTTACAATATGGTAGATTTGAAATGATGCTGCAGTTATTGATTTGACATTTACAACTGTGTATGGATATCCAAAAGGAAGGGACTAAGGCAAATGAATTTCTCTGTCTACTGTGTCATAGCTCTCCTACTTTCAACTAGTTATTCTTGTGCAGATGTACAGTGGAAATTCAGAACAGAGGCCAAGAAACTTTCTGTGCACTGTTGTCTTGGAGGGAATTGCAGCAGTATTTTACTGCTCTTAAGAGGAGGAAAACCCACATAAACATCTAATACAAACAAATGATCTTTGATATTATCAGAGAAAGCCTAGAGCCATTTTTCTTGCCAGATTGAAGGCATTTCTTGTCAAAAGAGGAAATCTCCCAAGGAGCAGGTGCATCATTATAAGAAACACAAGGGAATTTTTCTTTTAACTGCAAAACTTAATTGAATAGCAACAAGAGAATCAAGTGACACTCTCAGAATAGAAGGTTTGTTTTTGGCAGTCTGTCAGATTAGGGTTGCAAACCACATAGGAGAAATAGGTGTCTTGGGAGAAAAATAACTTCCTGGTGAAAATCATACATTTGCTTCTGTGGAACTTTTACCTTTACATGCTTGTTTCCTGTGCCCCTTAGATTGGTGTGCAGATTCTACTTGCAAGAATTAATTTTCTGAAAATGGTTCAATGAAGTGGTTACTAATATGTACACTATGCATGATTTTATGCCTGTAGATAACTGGATTTTATATTTTGTAATTTATATATCTTATCAGCTCCTTTTTTAAGCTTTTAAAATTATTGATCAAAATATGTGTTGAAATGATTAATGTTAATTGATATGATTGACAACTGGGTCCTGGAAAAGTGCTCATTGATTACTAAATAGTCATTGCATATACACTTGGTACATACATGGGCTATAAAAATATAAAATGCATAGTCTCTTCACAGAGAACTTACAAGGGGAAAAATAGGATACATGAAAAATTAAGTAATGATACACAACATGAAAGAAGATATTTTATGATTAATTGCCCAAGACAATGAGCAGTAATTGAAAAGGAATTCTCAGGAGAAAGTTACCAAGTCGGCTTAGATGGTTTTCCAGTTATCCATTGCTGTGTAACAAATCATCCCCAAATCATTGCTTAAAATGACTGTATTGCTTGCAATAGTGTGGTTGGTAGTTCAAGTTGGGTTCAGCAAGGTGGTTCTTCTGCTGCTCTTGGCTGAGTTCCTCTGTTATCTTCAGTCACCTGGTAGTTTGGATGATCTAGGATGGCCTCATTTATGTCTGATAGTTATTAGCTCAGGTTAACAGGTAACTGTGGCACGTGCCTCCCATTTTCCAGCTGACTAGCCTGGGCTTCTTTATGTGGCAGACAAGCAGTATTCCAAGAGCAGCAAAAGAACAAACCCCAGTTTAAGGTGATTTTTAAGCCTCTGCTTGCATTATATTTGCTATACCTTCCCCTCAGCCAAATCAAATCACAGGGTCTCCCCAGATTCAAGAGGGTATTGAAAGACTTCACTTGCTGTCAGTGGGAGCTGCAAAAATTTGTGGCAGTTTGTTTTCAACGTAGTATGTGTGTGAAAATACTTGTTCCAGCCAATGTTTTTGTGCTGAGGGATGGTGTACTGTAAGCTAGTGTACTTGGAGACAGCCCAGAATTGAGGTTAGGGAATTTCCCTATAAATCATTGTCCTGTAATCTCTGTTCTGTAAACCACAGAAAGAAAAGGAATGACAACGATAATAAAATTTTAGCTATACCCTCTGCTAGTGGTGTGAGGATGGTTTGGAGACAGTAGGCTGGTAGCAGAGTCAGCAATCCATTGTTGAAGGGTGAGGAAGGCTCTGACAAAGGTGGAGGCAGAGAGGATGGAAAGGAAGGGATCAATCTGTACATTTGGGCTAAGTCACTTAGTCGTGTCTTTTCCAACTCTTTGTGATCCTATGGACTGTAGCCGGCCAGGCTTCTCTCTTCATGGGATTCTCCAGGCAAGAATACTGGAGCGGATTGCCATGCCCTCCTCCAGGGGATCTTCCCAACCCAGGGATCAAACCCGTATCTCTTCTATCTCCTGCATTCGCAGGTGGGTTCTTTACCACTAGTGCCACCTGGGAAGCAGGGATCGATCTGGGAGATCCCATATTGTGGATTAGGTGACTGATTATACAAGGTTAGCGAAAGCCTAGAGTCAGAATCATTATGAGATTTTAAAAAGCTTAAGTGACTGAAAGAATGATTGTGCTGTTGTGAGAAATAGAGAAATCAATAAGTGATTTATTTGGGGGGAGGTGAAAAATTCAGTTCTAGGAAGATTGATTAAAAGAGATAAATTGAACGTGAGAGTGCTTTATAAGCTGCAGAGTATGCTATGAATGTTTCTATTGCTTAGTGTTTAAATCACAGTGGCTTGTATACAGTTACGTTTCTCTAGTTGTAAAGCAACAGAAAACAAAATGCAACCTGGAGGATATCCTGAGGGTCAAAGGGAAGTCAGAACCACTCTCAGGATAGAAACGGAACTCCTCTGGGGAGCTGGGGAGTAGAAACTGAAGGTCTTGTTCCTGAGGCACACAGCTGGCTGTCAGCCCCTGGAAGGCTCTGCCCTTGCACTTAGCATAGCGGGAAGAACTCCTTTGGCCTAGTTTGAGTGGCAGGCACACTGCTGAGCCAGAAGCGTTCACTGACAGCCCTGCTCAGATAGCACACAATCGGGGAGTAGGTCGGTGCTTCTTCAAGGGACTTGGGAGCACCGCTGTCAGAATTGAGAATGGACACAGGGTAGCAGAACCAACAGATCCCTGCCAGAGATGAACACTTGATGATTTCTTTGGGCCTGGCGACTGGGAGGAGAAGGAAATGGCAACCCACTCCAGTATTCTTGCCTAAGAATCCTGTGGACAGAGGAGCCTGGTGGACTGCTGTCCATAGGGAATCGCACAGAGTCAGACACGACTGAAGCCACTTAGCATGCAGGCGTGCATTGGAGAGGGAAATGGCAACCCACTCCAGTATTCTTGCCTGGAGAATCCCAGCGACAGAGGAGCCTTGTGGGCTGCCTTCTATGGGGTTGCACAGAGTTGGACACAACTGAAGTG